AGATAGATAGATAGATAGATAGATAGATAGATAGATAGATAGATAGAAAGAATTGGGCATGCGAGGCACCTGTTCTCCACACCACTTTACATGGACTAAAGATTAAGAAAGACCTTTAGCTAACAGGTTACTTCTCAGGTTCCCATAAGAGTTTTAAATACTGCACCTTTCAGCAACTGAATACAGATGTTGACTGAAGAGCCTAAATGTACTCAACATTCTGCTGCCAAGACTCCTGGCTCGAAAAAGAGAAAACGCGTTTCAGCTGAACCACGCTGGCTCCGTCCTCTCTGTGATTAAGTTCTGATTGCAGAGTATACAAAGCTCCAGAGGACCGAGGACGAGACATTTGCTTTAACTATTCCAAAGTGCATACCTTCATTTGATTCGTCACTGGTGTTTGTTCTTGCCTTCTATGTTACTGAGACATTATAAGAAATGCAACACGTTACAAGGCTTTGAAGGATAATATACGGATAAGGATATAAGGGCAATATTACGGGTGATGTGTGAAAAAAGGTGTAAAGATCATTTCTGTTTCATGGATTCTATGACGTGATGTGTTTTACTAAATAGAATTTGTTTAATTTTTAAAAGTTCTAGATTATTATCGAATTTGCAGAAAAATGATTGCGATAAAGATACAATCTGAGCAATACTTCAGGGGTACTGAGCAACTTTTAACTCCTCCTTGGACATCTGTGCAATCATGTCTGACAGACTCCTGCTCGCGCAAGCTTTATGAGAGGATGTTTTTACTGAGGCTGAACTAATGCAAGGTGTGTAAGGGGAGGTGAATGATATTTCATAGTGTTCAGTGAAGATTATTTTTTTGGAAGCAAAGGTGAGTTTAACCAGTTTTTTTGGGGACAAAAAAGGCCTGTGAGCAGCCCACGTCTGGTGGTTTGAGAAGTGAATCCAGAAGCGGGAAGGACGTGGGAGGAAGTTAGTACTTCCCATAACCTTTGGTCTTGTTCATGCTATGTTTGGAAAGTTCTCTTCAGTCTTGATTTCCACTGCTGTTTGTACATTTTCCTCCTCTCTGCACATTAAGAAAAAGAAAAGGTGAGAAAGGGAGTGTGACTTTCAGCTAAATTACCACATGATAACATTTACCTGACACTCTGTCTGTAACAACACCTGTAATTACAGCTGTTGCATTTCCCATCGTCCCAATAAGTTAGGAATACGTTTAAATGTCAGGGACTGGGGTAAATTACTCATTCAAGAAAGCATAGCCTCTCAATGTAAATCCTTAACCGTTCTGAGGTGGTTGAAATGGTTGCATTTCTCTCCGGGTAAGCCTCACATTTCCGTTCATTTTGTAGGGTTGGTTGCGCAGCATTGTAAAAGGTCAAGCCTTACTTTATCCTATTCCATTCCCACATAATCATCAGTCCGTCTGCTGGACGCAACGAGGACGGGAGACATTAGCAATGACTGTTTGTCTTTTCTGACATTCAACTGTCGAAGAGAAAAAAAAGAACATACCACCCCATTTGAAAGGGCAAATCCCTTCTCGAATAAAAAGCTGTTTGTAAATGTGCTTGATCGCACACAGCGGTCTCTGTTCCCTGTTAACAACGAAAAAGTTAATCATTAACTGTACTTGCACGGTTGCAGCTATAAGAAAGTTGAAGTGCACACCTCAGTAGAATGGCTTCCTGCAATCAAAAATATCAGAAAATACAACTACAAGCAATCTGCCAATTCCGTTTTCCACTCAACTTCAGTCTTTGATTAGCATATCAGAGCAGTTTGCACGTTAGAGAGCAGCACTAATTCAGATGCTGGAGAATGTTCAATGGTTGCTCACTTATTTGTGCCTGTATAAGTGGCCAAACTTTCAGCAGTTTCTTGTCCTTGAGCTGCAGTCCAGGAGGAAGCAGGCAGCTGTCAGCTATAACATAAAGCAGCTGCTTTGAAGCACTGAGTAGCATCCATTTAAGATCTATTCAACCACTCTGTCTCCTGAATTCAGTGTCTGAAATATGATACACGGAAACGTTTTAAGCCCTGTATATAGTCAAACAAAAGGATGGTTCTGAAAGGCAAAATGGGCAATGTAATCCTTTGACTATGTTATTTCGTATGTAGGACCACAGAACTCCTTTTTTCCACTCACCCTACAGCTGCTCGGGTCCAAAGATGACTAGAGGTCTTTCACAGACAGCACAAAGCACCACAGTATACACAGCATTTTCCCACTTCAAGAAAACCTAAAGGAACATTAAACTAAATCGATGCTGCTCAGTTAAAACACTCGAGGACATGAGACAGCAGTGTGAAAGACAAAAGTTGATGTACTCCCTTATACAAACAGCAGTTTGTTCACCAGACTGGACTGGACATGTTAGTGGTTATTGAAACCAAGTCGGGATTCATGAATAAAAAGAAAGCTTAAGACTCAGAATTCTCTTATGTGCATAAGATAGCTGAATTTCTGTTTTTGTTTTAGTTTTAGTTTTTTTACAGGAGATGCATTTAGATCCGGGATAGAACTCCAGGGTTCAGGGACCACCGCGCTGCAGGTTTTGGAAAAGAATCAGGTGCATTAAAGCAGCTAAACATTTCTAACCTGCAGGACGTGGGCCCTTGAGTAGCCCATTCCTGCTCTGGATCCCACTCATCCCAGTCCACTGCAGCCATGGGATCCTGCTTTAAAAACTGGACAGGCAAACCCAAAACCTGCTCAGCATCCTCATCACATCCAGACAGGCGCAGGCAGACAGACAGAACGTACTCCAAACCGACATGCCACACACCAAAGGCTCCTGCAAATGTAACGCAACATGTCACAGAGACTCTTTTAAAGCGAGGGAACGCGGAGGGCGGCTTAATTATTCATGTACATATCATGTTTTTGTCAGAATGGAAACTAGCCATACTAGATGCTGCTGGAGCCAATGGACAGGGCAGGAAACAGCAACCTAAACTAAGCTGTGGGCAGATGAAAGGAAAGCCACAGCCGGACTCTGCTGAGCGCATGCGTCACTTCAGGGTTTGTGGAAAGGGGGGAAAAAGGGATAGAACACAAAAAAAAAAGAAAAGAAAATTGGTCACGTGACACGTTTGCTTTTTTGTGAGGGGCTGTATTCTGAAGTCTGTGGGAACGTCAGTGTGCGTGTGAAGTGTCTAGAAGGAGCAATCGTCAGAAAAAAAACGCATAAGGAAACGGTTACGCTGACTAGAAAAGTTCCTGCAACGGGTTTCCTGGAAGCACAAGTGCAAAGCATAAGATAAAAAGTAGGCTATCTCTCAGACACACACAGGCAACTCGCAGAACAGTTTCCCCGCGGTTACAGTCTTATTTATCAGCTATTGAATGATCCCACGGAGAGCACGCGCTGGCCTTCCGAGACTAAGAGCAAAAAGATTTGAATAATAACCAAAATAAAAGGTGAGTCAGTAACACGACGTAGTTGAAAATAAACACTGTATTAAAGCCATATTCAGTGGATTTTATCCTCGGACGTCTCCCTACCATGTAACTAGCTAAACTAGCACTATTGTTTAGACTGTTTTCTTTTCATCTTTCAAAAAAAAATTCCCAATGTCGGTCAGTTGCAGATACTTACCACTGTTACCGGAGAAACCATTTCTCCCTTGGTGCTATCAATGTCGGTGTAAAAGGTACAGTGGGTTTAATTCGCGTGAATCTTCTTGTTTGTGCTGAACTGTCAGAGGGATGCCGATTGTTTTTGTCCTCGATCCGGTGGGAGGTCCGACGTCAAGTAGGAGGAAACCGAAGGAAGGGAACGTAGGCAGACCCTTAGATTCGACCAATAGGGGTAGAGAACCTCACCAAGGGGGCGGGACAAAGCGTGAGGGACGCCCTGATAGGAGGAGTTTGGGTGCTGTTTACATATCGAAGCAGATGGCCTTTATTTACGTTTTTCTGGAATGGAGCTCCTCAGTATGATGGATAGATCTTAATATCTGGTGCGCAAGACAATCCGGTGGTAATCGGTTGGATGGGGTCAGGGGTTGGATTTTATGCAAAAAGCCTGACATGAAGAGTAATGAATGTTGCTGTGCTTATAATCAGCCACATGGAAGCTACAAAAGGATTTCTCGTTCTGTCGTGTGTCACCGGCACAAAGGAAACTGCGGCTAAATTCAGATATAGTATTACAGATTTGGTTTGTTACCTCTGTGTCATATGTTATATGGCATCTGAGATGAGCAATATTTAAGTAAGATTATGTACATTGCATGTTACTGTTGGATTAGTGGTTTGAGATACTTCCAGTTTTATGCAAAGATTAACGAGACTCTGCTGATGGATGAATCCTTTCAAGTTTCCCTCTTTGGTATATTAAATCACTTGGCATCATCAAACATGAATACATTGAAGGGAAGTTCGAATATTTAATAGCAATCAGGCCATCCTTAATCTGATCCTGACCATGTCCAACTTTCATAGGATGTGAGTTGCAACAAAGGTCACTGATTTCGCCTTAATAAATGTATATATCGACAAAAAAGTCGGAAAAAATCAGTTATTTATTTTAGAAGGAAAGAGGAAAAAGTAAATAAAATACAGTAGTTTCCATGAGTAACCAAACATTTGAAAAAATACTAAAATTCAGATGACTCCGTGCAGTGATTTATTTAACTGTGTTTTTTATTGAGATAAGATTGTGTGTCCTGTGTTTAAAAAACAACAACTTCATGCTTAAAAGCACGATGCTGAGTACGTTAGTTACACGAAGGAACCAAAATTCGAAAAATACACTAGAAATTGTTCGTCAACGGGAAACCCTGCGGTTTAAAATGGCACAAAAAAAATCCCATGGAGACGTTTTACTTCACATTTCTAGAGTATTCTACAAAAGTGAAAAAAGTAGCGACATCATGTGGGCTGAATCTGTCAAGTTTTTACGGCGGACGTTGCGTAAGGAAACCCTGTGCTCACGTGTCACACAAAACACGGACAAAAGTTTAAAAACAGGAACGGGATCGACGTAAAGCCTTTAGTACAAAGTCATCAAGCGTATAATAGAATTTTTCAACGAATAAATGCATATTTTTAGAGACGTTACTTGTTGTATAAAACCTTCCTGTAACTTTTGTAAAACACCTTTACACAGTTGTTTTCTTTTTTCGGCGAAGTTCAAGATTTATGGTCGCCTCAGGCCTACAGTAACGGCCAAGATAGCTCACCCCCCGCTCCCTCGTCTGAATTTACAGCCGACCAAACGAGTGTGCACACAAAGACGGAAGTGCGTAAGAGGGAGTTATCTCACTTCCTTACATTCCTCTTTGGACCTTTAATATTCGTTCTTTCTCAGTGCCTGTCTCAACTAACAACCGGCTTTAATAATGACTGATTGTTTTTGGTATTTAACCACGCACCCATTTATATGGATCATACTTTAGTTTCACGTCTTATCTGTAAAGAAGGACAAGTTCGTCTTGGCGGGCGTCACAGTTAGCTGACGTTACAGTAGTAAATGTAAGCTTAGCTAACTTCGCTAGCGCATGCTATCTTAAAGGAACGAAGCAAAGTAGCTTTAACGCCTCAGAGTACACGTTTTCCCCTCACAGGCTCTGTCCCAACGAGGCTATTTTCCACCTAGCTGTCTAGTTCGTCGGATTTTGATATCGCTAACAAGCTAAACGGTATCCTCGGCTGTCTTGGCTGAGTTTTGCTGGGTTGGCGAAATCGAGGTTTCATCATCTTCGACCGGAATTATGGACTTTGACAACATACTGAATATCGCGTCTCAAAACCAGGGACTCAGCAACGTACAGGTGGGTTAAAGGCAGCACCTCGCATTGGCTACTTAGTCAAATGTGCACTCGTGGGCTGCAATGTCAGCCCACAAAACCCCCACCAGCTGTCAATGGGGGTCCGAGCGTGAAGCTAGCCGCTAAACCGTCAGCCCCGTGTCTGTGCGCTGATCCGTAGAAGTTTGCTAACGTGGCTCATGCAATAGATCCTCTGAATGCTGATCTACGCATACTATAACCCACTAGTTGGTTCATTTTGTATTGAAACTGCGAAACTGCCAGGCACGATTCATGTTGTATGCGCTCTTTTCTTCATTTCTTTTTAACAGAAGAGATACAGTCTACAAACTGGACCACCCAAAAAGGACCCCAAGTCTAAAGGCGTGAGTGCTGCAGCTGTGCAGGCTCTGCTGAAGAAGCAACATGTGGAAAACAAAAAGAAAGGTATCTATGATTAGTAAATCTGCATGGCCAGAAACCATACGGGCTATAATGCTGTTAAGTTGTGTTATAATGTGTTATAATGATTGTGTTTTTCATTCTCAGAATTGCAGATGAAGAAAAAGAAAGAGGAGCTATTGGCGAAGAGGGTTGAGTTGAAGTCGGACCGCAAAGCCCGAGCCATGGCCTCCAGGACTAAGGACAATTTCAAGGGCTATAATGGTGTCCCATTAGTAGAGGCTCCTAAAAAGAGGGGCTCAAAACAAGACGAGCTGGATAAAGACGATGACCGGTTTAGGAATAACTCCGTTGACCCGCTGGATGATGAAGATAACTATGAGTATGATCAGACGGACTCGGAGCCGGAGCCGGAGCCGGAGGTGCTCAGACCAGGAAGGATCCCGGGTGTCGGTGGAGGCAGCGGGGGGAAGTTGCTTCCTAAAAAGCCCAGCGGACCCTCCAAACCTGGTCCGTCTCCCCTGAACTTTGCCGACTTACTAAAGTTGGCAGAGAAGAAGCAGTTCGAGCCAGTTGAGCTGAAAGCCAAGGTGGTGAAGAAGGAAGACAGACTCCGCACAGCTGACGAGATCCGGGAACTGGAGATGGAGCGCAAGGCTAAGAAGCTCGACAAAAATAAAGACTCCAGGGTAGAGAAGGAAAGGGATGGAAAGTCTCATTCTAGCTCCAGTTCGATAAGGAAAGGCTCCCTGGAGAAAGAGCAGAAGCAATACCGACCTCAGAAGAACTCTTCAGAGAGGCCAAGTCTGCCCGGTGGGTCCAGCAAGAAGCTGCAGCCGCCATCAACGGCCGAGCGAGGTCATCCTTCGTCCAAGCCTTCTGCCGGCGACAGAGAAAGGGATAGGCAGAAAGTTGCACACAACGATAGAGGAAAATCCAGGATGAGCTCGTCCAGTGCCATAAATAGTAAAGTCCCGTCAAAAGCCACGTCATCTCAGGTTTCTGCCAAACAGGTGGGCCCCGGGCCCTCGTCGAACCACAGACCCAGCGCCTCAAGTGACCTTAGCTCCAAAAGAGATGGTCTGTCGTTACTTCAAAAAGGATGTCCAGGTGTTCCGGGGTCCAGGCCCTCCAGCGAAGCCGGAGCGGGTCAGAAGCCTCTGCAGGGGAGGCCTCAGCAGACCAGGCCGGGTCAGGGTAGCTCTGTCCGGCCGCCGCCCGCAGCCGGGGGCACCAGGCCCAGCAAGGGGGAGCCGCTGAGGCCCGGAGGCAACTCAGCCGCCAGGCCGGGCGTAAACGCAGCGATGAGGCCGTCCCCCGGCGGTCAGCTGAAAGCGGGGAGCCAGCCTCAGGGACGGCCCGGGGCCGCGCCCCTCTCCCGGCCCGGGGGGGCGCCCCAGGCCAGGCCGGGCGGGAGCGGCCCGCAGGGACACCCCGGGCGCGGCGGGGCCCGGCCCCCCGGAGCCGAGCAGGGCAGAGGCCCCGGCGGCGGCCCGTTACCGGGGCGACAGGCGGGCGGCTTCGGCTCCGGCCCCGGAAGACCAAAGTGCACCGTGGTGTCGGAGACCATTTCGTCTAAGAACTTCGGCGGGCCCAGGCCGGGGGTCCACCTCCAGCCGGGGATGCAGCAGAGGCCCGGCATGGGGCCCAGGCCGGGAATGCCACCCAGACCGGCCATGAACAGACCACCAGGTGAGAGGCACAGGGAGGGGAAGGGCATGGCCCTATCGCACTGTGCACGGGGATTTGATTCCTCGTGCACAGTATTCCGTCGGTTAGCCTGTTTGTTTGGATCCCAGTGAAACCATTTTACTTCTCCGTTCTTGCTTGGAAAGTTCAGTTAGGCAACTGGACTGACCTTTCCAAGCTTGACCGCGACCTGGATGACCGAGAATCTTCACAGAAATGTTCTCTATTCTTTTCTTCCTGTTTCTGAAATCCATCTGTAGGATTTTTAATCCTTACTAAATGATGTAAGGGACGGTGTTTCATATCGGGTCGTATGCAGAGCTGTGAGGATGTCATGACCTCTTTCAGCGCTTTGTAACCGACATAGTGGAACAGTTCCTGCCCTGCGTGTTTAGATAACCCCCATAGTTCAGAGCCTGAAACACTGATCTGTATTTTATAAGCATTTTTCATCAATACCGGATCACACAAATAGATTATATATTTTTTTCTATTGTTTTATTTATATTTTTATCCGAATATTTAATATTTATATGTATTATATTATTTATAAAAATCGACATAGTGGAACAGTTCTTGCCCTCCGTGGTTAAACAACCCCCAAACAACCCCCACTGATCTGTATTTTTAGCAGCATTTTTCATCATTACTGGATCACACAAAGCAGAGATTTTACTGTTTTTGTTTTATTTTTTAAAAAGGAAAAAAAACCTTTCAGTGTGACTAAAGTGTTTTGTGATCGGTGGGGAAAACATGTCACGTTAACCCTAACCCTAACCCTAACCCCATGACGTGAATGAACTTTGTCTTTCCTAGGATCGATGTTACCGCCCATCACATCTGCATACAAGAGGAAGTACGATGATGAGGAGGAAGAGTACGACTCGGAGATGGATGATTTCATCGACGATGGAGGCGAGGAGCAGGATGAAATTTCCAGACACATCAAACAAATCTTCGGCTATGATCGAACCAAGTAAGTTCTGTCTGTGTATGTTCCGGTTTGAGGATGAAGTCATTTCACTTAATCATAAACCGGATTCTGCATGGAAATAAATGCATTTGTTTCGACTCCCTCAGATACAAAGATGAGAGCGACTATGCACTTAAATTCATGGAGAGCAGCTGGAAAGATGTTCAGAAAGAGGAAACTAGAAGGTAATAAGACGAAATGCTAAACTAGTCAGACTGCAGGTGCATGTGTGGATTTTATTTCCTGTTTCCGGGGCCTTTAGCTCTGTTTGCTTCTCTTTTTGCTGCTTAGTTTGCGACTGGCTGTCCAAGAGGATCTGGAGGAGGAGAAAAGGGAGGAAGAGGAGCTAAAAAGGAAAAAAGTCAAAAGGAAAAGACCTAACTGAGACCCCATTCCTGTCATCATGAATAAAAGAGAACTTCTCTTTGTCTTTTGAAACGTGGGGCTCTCTGAGTGGGTCCGCCCTGGCCATGTCCATCTCAGCCCATGTTGCTTTTTACCCATCGTTTGGACAAGAAGAGTGACATTCAAAGACTAAATATGCACAAGTCATTCAGGCATCAGAATATAATGAAAAATTCTCCTGTTTTCTATGTTATTTATTTCGCACCCCACTCAGAGCTGGGTTTACAGTTTTCCACATCTGTAAAGGCTTGAGCTCTAACTACCAGGAGGGTGAAAGGTTACGATTTATTTTCTAAACTAACTAACATATGACAAGTGTTGTTAATTTGCTATTTTGGACCAGAACTTGCATATTTTTCAAGCATAAGATTAATTGTATAGTCAGAGAAATCCGCTAAATGCTGTTACCTTCAAGATTATCTGACAGATGATTGCATAAAGGGTTTTATTTAATTTGTTGTTTTTTCCGCTCATCTTTGACTTGGTTTATACGTACAGAGCTTGGGTTTGTCACAAATTGGAGTCCAATGGACTATTTTCTTGCCATAAACTGAGTGTCTAGAAATCCTCGCACTGGACACTTTCGTCCCTCTCGGCTTGCCGTAGACGCGTTGACAAATGGGAGGGAGCTGCATGGTTCCATGACATCAGTTTTGCCGAACGACTCCTTCGGCTTCTCCTGGAAGTTTGCGGAAGTTTGTGTATTTGAAGTCGAAGTCTAAGAAAGCCGCCGGCAGCATCGACTCCTTCACCGGAAAAAACAAAACTTCTTCGTTCTTCCGTTCTCTGACTGTTGTGTCCGAGTAGATGGACCTTGGGTCAGAGAAAGTACAGCGCATCCTGTCAAAGGTCAGTCACTCAACAGGTCCAGAGCAGGAGGAACCTCTCCGGTTTGGTCTTTTCTGTACGTGTTCCGTAAGTACCGGGTAGCTCCGGAGGCTAATTCCCCGCTGATCCTACAGGCAGAACAGGCTCTGTCACTTATTTGTCAGCCAGAAACCTCGATGACACGGAAATCTGTTTAAGGTGCTGTTCAGGCACTGTTTAACACCTCCTGTTGTTTTGGAGAATGCAGCAGACTTGTGTGGCTGCCACCTAAATAGTCTTTAATTGTTTTTCATGGACTTTCTGCTCTTAAAGTGGCCATAAAATCAAATACTGTAGGCAACATAACCCCCAAAACAAGTGATTTGTGGAACCCCTTTAGGAGGCCATTGACATAAATGCTGTTATTCTTGTCGGCATGTATTTCTGATGATAGAGAAACTTTTGGAGGGGCTTAAATATAGATGAATCAATTCTCATAAGACAGGAGGCAACTCTTATGTTCAAGGGAAACTACTTAACCAGGGTTGAGTTTATTATCTTCCTTGCAAATTAGCTTTCCAACTGGACCACCGGGGCATCCTAGTGAGTCCCTTTGCTGTCCCGGTTATTCCTGATGGGGTGGGAGCCCATCCCAGCTGTCACTGGGCGATGGGCGGGGCACAACCTGGTGCCACACAGAGACAAACAACCACACACAAATCACAGTCACTCCCTTACCCACGGGGAATTTAGAGTCACCAATTATCAACACGCGCATGTTCTTGGATGGTGGGAGGAAGGTGGCACCCAGATAGACTTCCCAGATGTGGGAACTCGGTCAAACTGAGGGATACCAACATCTTGAAGTGTCATTCCCCGCCCAAAAAAGAGCTGCTAACCCAGTAAAGATGTACCCCTCCCACTCGGTGTTGATCCTGGTCCAGGGCCGTCCGCTGCCCGTGGGTAAAACTGTAAACGCTTGAATCGTTCCCACGTTTCAGTACAAGTTCCGGGATGTCGCTGTGGAGGAGCTGCAGAAGATCCACCGGCTCCACCCTGGAATGAAGCCGTCCACGGGCACTTACAGTAGGTGTCTTTGGACTGTCAGCCCCCCCCACAAACACACACACTTCTTAAGTACTGATGGCACACCTTACCATTTCCAGCGTTCACTGACGGCACCCAAAAAGATCTGCTGAAGTTAAACGGCGTCATCCCCGTCAGGTACGAGGGTAAGTCCCACCGGCTTCTGAAAAAAAACCCCGGTGAGCGTTGCGTTTTGGAGCTCTGGCGGGAACCTCTCACCTCCTGTCCAAAGGTCGCTCCTACAACTTCCCCGTGCAGCTGTGGCTCCTGGACTCCTTCCCCTTCACCCCTCCCATATGCCATCTGAAACCCACGCCCAACATGGTGATCAGAGAGGGAAAGCACGTGGACGCCGGAGGGAGGATGTACCTGCCAGGACTGCACAACTGGGACCATGTGAGAGTTTTAGGTTTATGTTTATGCATTTAGCAGACGCTTTTATCCAAACCGACTTACAAAGTAGACGCAATGTTACAGTTATCAGTCTGACAATAAGCTCTCTAGAGGAGACAGGGGGTAACCAGTGGAGCTCAATGAACAGAGGGGGGACGTCAGACTTTTTGGGCTGAAGACCAGACGCGCCGCCGCGTTCAGGATAATTTGTAATGGTTTTACTGTACAGGCTGGGAGACCAGTCAGGAGTGGGATGCAATGGTCAGGGCGGGTAATAACCACAGACTGCACCAGGAGCTGGGTAGCTTGTTTGGTTAGGCATGGGCGGATCTTTCTTATATTTAGTAGTGTGAAAGTTTTATCCCCCCATCTGTGTAGAAATCCCTTTCTTTTGCCCTGACAGCCCAGGTCATCCGTCCCAGGCCTTCTCACTGAAATGATCACTAAGTTTGAGGAGGAGCCTCCGCTGTCCACCAAGACCTCGAAGGACGCCAAAGACCCCCACGAGCTCCTGGCGTTTGTGTCAAAACTTCAAATCAAAGAAGGTGCTTCAGCCGTCAGGCCGCCTCGTTTCGGCTGGCGGGGGATCAGCTCGCTGATGTGAGACTCCTCTTCATTCCAGGGGGAGTCAGGGACCACGAGCAGCCGCCCCACAAAGTCTCAGTGGTCGGGGGAGGGGACCTGGGGATGGCCTGCGTGATGAGCATTTTATCCAAGGTAGTCGCTTTCCACTTTCCAGCCTTTTTGGGGAAAAAAGTTTTAAATGTCAAGTGATGACTCAGAGTGATTCTTTCCCCCTGTGTGTTCCCTTAAGTGCAAAGTGGATAAACTCGTTTTTATGGACGTCGCCGAGAGCTCCACCAAAGGCGGAACCACAGACCTGGAGATTTTCAGGCTGCCGAACGTGGAGGTTTCCAGAGGTGCGTTGGCCGAGCGCACAGGCGTCTGTGTGAGGCCGGAGGGAATGGCTCTCTGATTAGACGGATGAAGGCATGAAGTGCGTTTCCTCTCAAAGACGGCTGTAAAATGACCTGCCGTTTAACCTCTCCTCTGTCAGACCTCTCGGCCTCTGCCGGCTCCAGAGTCGTCGTGGTGACGGCCAACGCGTGGAGCAGCGAGCAGTCCTACGCGCGGGTGGTCCAGACCAACGTGGATTTGTACCGAGGGATCATCCCCAGCCTGGCGCACCTGAGCCCCAACGCCGTGATGCTCATCGCCTCGCAGCCAGGTCGGTGACGGGAAACGGGGGGGCTCCTCCTCTGGGTGGTCCTGCTCATCTCTCCTCTGTGTGTTCTGTGTTTGCTCCAGTGGACATCATGACGCACGTGGCGTGGAGGCAGAGCGGCCTGCCTCCGACCAGGGTGATCGGAGCCGGCTGCAACCTGGACTCGGAGCGCCTGGCTCACATTCTGGACATCAACCTGAACGCCCACCAGCCCGCGTGGGTCATCGGGGAACTCTCGGACAACAAAAGTGAGCACAAAGCACCCGTTGGATCCTGCGTGTGGTCGCTGTGCCCGATTTTTTGACGGGGTGAAAACTGTTCTTTAACAGACTCTAAATCACCGGTGTCAAACTCCAGTCCTCCAGGGCCGCTGTCTTGCAGGTTTTGGAGGTGTCCCTGTTTCAACACACTTTATTCACATCAAAATGCCATTAGCAGGCAAAGCTCAACAATGTCCAGAGGCGAGCCAATTTAAATCAGCGGCCCTCGAGGACCAGAGTTTGACACCCCTGCTCGAATGCCTTAACATCCCTTAACTCATCCGCCTGGAATGATTACATATATCACCTTTAAATAGCTTTGTGGCAGCACCTGCTCGGCAGGTTGTTCAATAAAAAAAAATGCTGCATTCGAATCAACTCACCGGGCGTTTCTGTTCCTCAGTCGCTGTGATGAGCAACATCGGACTGAGCTCCAGTGCCACGCCGGAAATAGCCCCCGGCCCCGCTTCTACCAAACCACTGTTAGACAGGTAAACGGACAAACTAAGCTGGAAGTTCAGAGGGTACCGAGCATCTGCCAGCAGGCCCACACCCTTCAGCTTTTTTTCCCCCCTTTAAAATGTGAGGCCTGAATTGTCGTTTCCCCCGCAGAGCCTTTGAGCTTCTGAAGAATCGAGGCCAGCGGTCCTGGTCTGTGAGTCTCTCCGTAGCCGACATCACCAACAGCGTCCTGACGGATAAAAACAAGGCGCACTCCGTCTCCACGCTGGCTCAGGTAGCGCCATCAAGTGTGTCGTCCTCTTTACCTTCAGATGTGGCAGGTTTCACTTAATGACAGGAGCAAAAGACTTATTAATGTTTTAAGGGGTTTTTACCGATTTTTAAAAAGTCCTCTCCGCCTTCCCATTTCTTCCTCAGGGCTGGGGTGGTATAGGCGCGGAGGTCTTCCTAAGTCTGCCGTGCGTCATGGGTGCAAACGGCTCCACTCGCCTGGCTGGAGTGACACTGGGACCAGAAGAGGACTCCAAACTGAGGGAAAGCGTAGCCTCCCTGTCTACCCTCATGGGCCAGCTCAGGCTGTAAAACGTGTGAGAGCAGCTGCTGTCCTCAGAGGAATGGGCAGGCTCTCACTAACGTTAGCATCACAGAACTTTTTGAAATCGCAGACAGCACTTAATGGCAACAGCTGTGTATGAAAATGATGACAGAAATATTCCCGTTTCTAATCATGTTTGAATTACTGGGACTGCAGGTCAGCACTGGAAGTGGACATATTGTTAATGTTTTCTGAAAGCACTTAACGTTTCTCTCTCCTTTTCTTTTGGAAAAGATGTGAAGGAGGCTGTCTTGATAAGAACAGCTAGTATAGGCTTTCTGTTTCTGTTTATTTTGTGCAAAAAGACTTAAAGCTTCACATGAAGCAACCAAAGGCGTGTACAGTAGGAAGGGCTATATGAATCTGTGGGCGTGCAATAAATATCTGAGAGCAATGTAAATGGACTGTCTGAGAAGAGAAAAAACACCAAGCTAGTATGGTTAATCTCTTTATAAAAACTCAAGTCGTTGCAGAAATGCAGATAAGCTTTGGTCTGAGCCCGACCCCCAGATGACATCCGGATCCATAAGTGGAGCTGTGATGCACCACTCCGGCAATCTGTGCTCAATTTAAAAGGCGTACAACATACTCCAACGCGCCTAACTTGAGTGGATGGCCGTCCTTCTCCAGGAGTGCAAAACCCGACCAAGTTTTTTTTTCTAAAGAAAGAGCTTGCAACACAGAAGGATTACACTGGGGAATCAGTCTGAAAGGACAAATCAGTGCAAAAAAACAAACAATACTGGTGGTTGGATGATACACGAAACAAAAAACAGTATAAACATATATACAGTAGGTCTTTGTACAGACTAATATGGCTCATCCTCCATTTTTAAGACTTTTGCTTTTTTTAAAGTGATACTAAAGTCACTGGACTAGCTCTAAAATATGGCAGTGAATGAATTCAGCTTTGATTCATACAGTTTTGTCCCTGGCCTGTAACGCTTTTCAGCTTTGACTCTTACATCTTCCTATACGTAGATGACCATCGCAGTAACCTGCGTCCGTCCCTGTACCACCTCTAACCACTAGATGGAGCCACCTCCAAACAGTTTTTTTTTCTTTTCCTGTGAAAAACAGTGCATGTGAATACAGTGTTGCATTAAAATCCTGGAACATTTGGTACATGCAGTAACATTTCAGCTGTGATACCAAGTATGGAGCGCACAGGTCTGACCTGGGAACTGCTCGATGCTAACGGCAGGGTTGTAACAACAAAGACGGTCCAAAACGCCCAGAGTACCCACTGCCACCTGTCTGGGAATCAACCTGACAAGGCATCGTGTGAAAGATACTTGCATCAATATTTACTCCAGTAACTTATTGCACCATTCTTGGCTCCTGCTGGTGGTTACAGTTCCACTCTATTGCTTTATTTCGCATGAGCACAGCACGAGTGCATTTAACTTAAGCGGGGTCCTCTGTTATTGAGTTTGAAGCGAAACGCTCTAAAGAAAATTTAAAAAATGCTTTTTTTCCTCCTTACAGTTTGATCGACGGTGAAGACGTGTGAGCCTGCTCACAGTCTACCCCCAAATTCTGTATCAGTGTATGTGCTTTGGCTAGGAGGACTCGGTAGCCTCAAAGCCCTGGTTTTAGAGTCGCTACCGTCAGTGCACCATAATAAAGTTAAGACACTTTCACATGTGCGTAGGTGACATGTGCAGCTGGTAAGTGATCACATCATTGTTTTGTACAGTTCTCCATACTGTCCATCAAACCGAAAGAGGAGGTGGTCAATCGAACAAGAGTTCCAAATTCCTCTCTTTTTGTGCCGCCAATAGTGAAAGAAGACAGTAGATTTAAATGGAGAACAAAAGGGTAATTTTCCTACAAAAATAAGCACCCATTGCTCATTAAAGGGCCGCTGGCTTTTTTACCTTTTATACAGCTTTGAAAATAGAATTCACAAAAAGTGGACGGCATCAGAAAGTAACTGATTTGGGCAGCTGCTGTCCAATAGGAGGCATCCTACAAAAGTCAGGGCTCGACTGGACCAGGGGCACTCCCACTGGCGGCTGTCCTGGGGACCTGGATTGACCTGGGGGGGACCCTGTGTACAACAAAGGGGCCGGGAAGGCAGAACGGTCTCTGGGGCCTCTGGAGAAAGGCTTGGAGTAAACAGGTGAAGGCTCTGTGTGTGTGTCTGAACAGGCGGCAGGAGAACACTGAAACGGAGCCAGTCTGTCAGCAAAGCTGGGCGGGGGCGGGGGGATGATGGAATCCTCCACCCAGTTGTCCTCTCCTTCATAGTCCGGTTCCTGAGGCAAACTGGGGAGAGCACACATCGAGGGGGGGAGAGGGGAAGGAGAGGGAGGGATGAAGACGGGAGGCGGGGGCAGAGGGTAAAGGGTGGGGTCATAGTCTCCATCAATAGTGCAGGGGGGCTTGCTGTGCATTCTGGGAGTTTCCTCGAGAGTGGAGGCCAGGAGTCTCTCCACGAAGCGGTCGTCGTCATCGGCCTCAGAGAGGTTATCGTACTGGGAGGTGTTGGAGGGCCGTCTGTCCCCAGCGGACACAGGGACGTACAGAGACACTGGAAACTTTGTTGGCTTTGGAGGAAGTCTGGGAGAAGTTGAAGATGCTGTGAAGGCACAGTGAGGAGAGGCTTTGGGAGGCGTTGGTTTTTTCTGTGGGAGCTCAAGACATGGTTTTGGATTCAATTTCGGGGATGGTTTCATTGGACTGAGCGATGGGGAGGCTGAGTGTGGGGAAGGGGAGCGGCGCGGGGTCGGCGGGCCGGTGCGAACTCCCGGGCTGGCGGGGTCGTTGTTCTGAAGCCTGTGGTCGCCCTGCTCTGGATAAAATAGCGGTGGGGGTGGTAGGTCTGGGAGGTCCACGATCTCTTCTTCGGTCCGCATTGTGAGATCTTCCAAAGGAGGGGGCTCATAAGGCGGGGGCCATTCCCCAGACTCCTCCTGGCTCTCTGGCTGTTCTGGATGCTTTTGCTGTTTTCTGCCATCTTGCCAAACCTCTGGGAGCGTCTCCTTCATGTCTGTGATGTTCGCCTCAGCCGATAGCTTGCTTGTTTTTGGTGGTTTCTGAGGAGGAGGCCTACAAGGCCTCAGCGAAGAAGGTGTTCCCTGTGAGTGGATGACAACTGGGTCTGGGGAGGGCAAAGGGGGTGTGTTCGTCCCTGGCAGGCCTCTTAAATCTTGGGGTTGTGCAGGAGAAGGGCTCTGATGAAGGGCGATGGCATCCGTTTGATGCGACTCCGTTTGAGGCTGGCTGTTGGCCTGCAGATTCATTTTGACCTCCAGAGGAGAGCCGGGCTTCAATGGCAGAAGGAGGACGGGTCTCTCCTGGCCCAGTGGCTTCTTGGGCAGTTCATCTGACTTTGCTGAAAAAGGAAACAGGAAAAAGGCTTAAGAGAGAGAGAAAAAAAAAGTTGTGCTGTGGTTTTCAACTCTTTAGAAAAAGTTATTTTTGTTTTAAAATGATCTCACACCATTTCTACGGCAGTCCTACAGATACAGGATGCCACCCCACAAGTATTTGGAACTAAATGCAGACACTGAGGGAAATAACGACTCTGTACCACAAAAGGAAAAATGACTTCAAAAGCATATAATGTTTATTTTTTAACTTGTAAACTCTAAAAAAAAGTGTTCAACAAGGGAGGAAAAAGTATGCATAAATATGAAGTTAGGCCAAACAAGTTATATCCTTATGATTAACTCCTCCTTTTGATTTTAAACATCTCCTTGGTTTGACTGTAGACTAAATCTAGACTAAATCGTCTGTTTCCAAAGGCACTGAGGTGCTACTGTTTGGGATACGGTCGGCAGGGCGCGGCTGCTCTGACGTCAGAGGGAGCAGATCGTTGCCTGCTGACTCCACATCTTGTCACAGGTCTGAACACTTTTTTTGTTTGAAAAAGGCAGGAAATGTTCAAAGCTGGTAGATGAGCCCCACATAGTTGTTGAGACATGCAAAAACAAACTCTGATCTTTCACTCACCCCGATTCTGACTCTTTCCTCCTGTTTCATAAGACAGGTTTTTTTTTCAAATCATCCTTGAGACATGTCACCAAGTTGCACTGCTGTTTTTGTTTCAGCATGTAGCCTTAAACAATGTACTCATTTTTAAGTAATATCCATGAGTATCAATGTTTTGACAACCGTAATTAAGAGATACTCACACGAGACAATATAATCCTAAGTGATATATATCGTTGGAAAATAGTTGAGTACAGTATCAGAATGAAAAGTACTCAGGCATGGTGAAAGTTTAGCTGCGTTTTTAATTGGTGGGGTGGACATAAGATGAGAATGGGTATCTCTGTTAACTGCAGTTGGTACAAAGTCTCACATCAAGCACAGATGATTCTTGTTAGGCTGTAAAAGATAAAAAATACTCCTAAATGTCTCAGATCCCTCCAGTCCACAATCAACCAATTATTTGACCAAAGAAGGGGCCGCCAAAAGTCACTCCAGCAGAGCGGCGCGTAATAGTGTGAAAGCCACAAGAAAAAGAGGCAAACTTTTTAAGTAGCTGCCAGGCCTGAATGGCAGCATGTACTATTAGTGTCCCTGATGAAGGCTGAGCAAGAATGTATATATCTAAGGGACAAGAAAGGAGCCACTGCACCCTCAAGAAGTATATTTAGCTGTTTGTTTAAAGTCAGCTCAAAGATCTCTTAAACAACCCAAAGAAACTGCTGGAGCATCGCTTCAATAGGCATCTTTTTTTTCTGAGACATATTAACTGCTGACGAAATGAATCTTGAACTATTCAGATGGATTTTCGGGACATCTGTCTGTGCATAAGTTCAATATCAGATTTGTGTTTTAGAAAACTGTAATCCAATAAATAAATCCTGGTAAGACCTAAAACAAGTAGGTCACTTGAGGATGTCTAAAATTTAAGCTGTTCAGTCCAGAGAAGCGTGCCAAAACGCCCCCAGAATGATACGCATGACTAATCAACAGTTACTGTGGATGTCTCTTTTTAAACAACTACTAAAACGGGGAGCACACCACATACGGCAATATAACAAACTTCTAGCGCTATCAGTTGTGTCTGAATTGATAATTTTCCTCAGGAACTGAATTCCATATTGTAATTGTTGCCCCATTTGGTGTTCGTGCAGAAACACAGAGGGTTTTTAAGACTCTTGGCCGCCTAAATGGAACAGGAATATTCATGAGGGCTTCTTCACCTGGTGGAGGTAGATCCAGCTTTTTACTGCGCAGCTCTGACATGGCAGCCTGGAGTTGTTCAATCACCACATCATCGTGGAGGAAGAAAGAAACAGCCAGCTGCTCCTGGAGAAACTCCCTGAGGTCCTCCAACTGCAGCTTCTGCAGGCGCTCTGCTTACACACACACACGCGTCAGACACGAGATTGAGTTCATCTCAGAGAAGAAAAACCAGGTTAGTTAGTCTCATGCAAAGCGTGCTAAAAATAGAAATGCTGTTGTTAAGGGAAGTAATTCAACTCAGGCCTTATTCTTAGAAACCGAGTAAAGAACTGCTCGGTCAACTGCAGGATATCAACCAATATGCTGAGACAAATCTGGTCTATGCATCCAATGAAAACTCAGCTTTGGATTCTTCTCCTCAGCAACGGATCGCTTGTGTTATGTAAGCCATCCAGTCAGGATGCGACCAACCGTGAGGAGGCGTGTGATGCAATCCACACTGTAACACTTACGCAGCAACTGAAGGAACGGCTCTATCTGGACATAAAAGCACTTTGGAAGAGAACAGCATGGCCTTTAAAAGGTGACTCTTGTACTCACTTTTGTGTAACTTGAGGATTGTGTAAGCCATCGCCGTGAGTATCTTCTCTCCCTCCAATATGTAGATGTCCCACAAACGCAGGGTGAGGGTGAAAGGGGTCTTTAATGTAAGACAGAGCAGACGAATCAGTCAGTCTAACCAAAAAAATAACAGAACCGCACAACATGTAGCTCTGTGTTGTGAAGGAAAGCAAATGAAGCCACTGAGGCGTGTTGTGGACCATTCGTGTATTTCATGTTTGAAAAGCTGTGGACTTCCAAACACTCACTCTGTCGATAAAGCACTGGAGGAACCATTTGGTGGTGTAAATCCCCGTCGTCATCTGCTCCTTGTCCTGTGGGGAAAAAAACAACTACAAGTCATCTCTATGACAAAAGGCTCCTCAACCTTTTTTTCTAATCTAGAAATCTTTTCAAATAGGCCAGACTCTCTCTGAGCCCACAGGCTTAGAGGTGGAAATACGAGTGGAAATCACCAGGTGTTTCTTCAGCTTGGGTAGCATTTTAGAAAGAATGAGCTCGTGGTGAGCCTGGAAGCGATGCAGCTTGGGAAATCCAGGGATGAAAAACCCTAGCAGAGAATGAGATGGAAAAACAAATAAGTAAATCGAAATCACAAAACCGTGGGTGGCATTTACAGAAAGGATGATCAAGTCAACTAAGGACTCATTCTTTAATAGCAAAGGATTTAATCAGCTTTGCTTTTTGTCTACACCTCTCCCTGAGCCTCACCGTGCATGGAATGCTTGCTGTTGGTGAGGAGCTGGGATAGAGCCCAGAAGGCATCTTCCTCGTTCAGGTACATGAGCAAGATAGCAGCGATCTGGCTCATGCCCTGGCAGTAGCTGACCTCCTGGGAAAAAACACAGAAAGGAACAGCTTGGGTTGAGAAGATTTGAGCAAATAAACAGAGCCATTTATAATTCAGTGAAGTGCCCAAACACAGAGGCCAAACGACGAGAGGAGGAGAGCACCTGAACGACTGATATGGTCTGAGGGCCGACTGTGGAGGCGCTGAACAAACAGCTGCAGCAGCTGTGTTAGAAACACTTATACCAAAGACTGCTCAAATGTTTACTGCAGCCTGATAGACGTCCTCGCTGAAGTCATGTTTTAATGTTGATGCAACACCCAAATTGATTTACACTAAGCTAGCCATTGGCCAGCACAGATCCAGAGATACAAACACTTGGAATTTGGCCATATCAAGTCAGATTATGGCACAGCTATAAATGGACTAGCAAAAGTATCCTTTCAAGGAAATAAAGTAAAACTAACTAGGGTTAAAGACTACACATTTTTCACATTCCTCCCTTCCATCTCATATGTGAAAAAGACAACCACCCCCCCCTTTTCTATCTCCTTTGCTCTTTCTCTCTTGGCTCTCCTACTGACCCAATTTCTTGAGTGCCGTTTGAGAAGAGGGGAAAAGGGAAAAAGAACAACGCATGCTCATTTCCTCTAGCTCAAACACCTCGGCCACAGAGGAACTGACTCCACAACCCAATCAGAAAAACACGGCTATGAGTGTCGGGGATATTTTGTACAATGGACTGTCTTAAAGTGGGTTATATTAGCAGCTTTTTCAGCTAGCAGCAACCCGAGTTAAAATGAGAGTAGTTACAAAGGTTTCTGAACGAAGTCACACAGTACGTGAATAGTCACTCTTATGTCAGAATTTGTCTAATAGAGAGAAACTTTGAAAAGAGTATAACAGAGGAAGTAAAACTATATTCTACTTGTAAATATGGTAATAACATCCGTTTTACTCCCTTCTGCTGTTTTTAAACCAGAAGATATCAAGGGAAATTTGACTTTTGACAAAGACCGTAATGATGGCACCTCCTCCCACGAGTTGAAAGGAAGCTAAATTTCCAAATGACACATTCTATCACTAAGTCATGCACATTAACAGCCCCAGAGGAGATTTTTTTCTGTCCTTAACCGAGATTTGCTCACTACCTTATTGCTCCAGCCTGAGAAAACTGATCAGATTTTGTCAAGATGCAAGGGTGCATGTTCCCAAACTGGAAGAGACTCATTTTAGCAGTGGGTACATGAGACAGGTTATCTGAACAGGGCTTCATTGTAAATACAACATGGAAGAGGTTTAATGTAAATGTGGCAGCAAATTAGAAAATAGGACTGAGACACAGACCTGCTGTGTTGAGAAATAAGTCAATTTCATGTATTGGACATAAAGTTTTGCTTTACAAATAGTTAGTTGTGATGAGTCCCACTCATGAACCACACTCATACATAAAATATCTCATTCATGGCTCTGAACAAGAGTGAGAACAGATGGGTCTGAAGGGTCTTATCCGCTCTTTACTGTTCATAAACTAAGACAATGGACAGATTTTTTTAAAGCTGTTGCGCCACTGATGCACGGCGTCTTTCCGCACAGCCGGCGTACACTAAACTTCTCCTCATTATGCTACACAGCTTGAGGAATGCATGAGTGTAAACGCGAGCAAAACACTTACCGTGTTGTAGACGGAGTAGGCCGCTAGCACGTGGAACAGGGCCTGTTGCCTGGAGAGGGAACAGAGAAACCGCAAAGTCAAACAAGGATGTGTTTTCCAAATTAACAAAATGGTGGCCCTAAGGACACTTCCGTTTTAGGGACAGCCCTCTGCATTCTGAAAATGACTCGCTATACTGCAGCAAATATCTGAGCAACTGTTATCTATCAATGTGTCATCACTGGTCACATTTTGCTTGTGTGTGCCCTCTCCTGTAGGAAATCATCGGCTACTTGGATGGATTTTGAGTGTTGTGTTTTGCACCCTGGTCCATTGTCAGGATAAACACGTGCACAGACAGTGAAAAACAGGCGGCCATTGTGTTTGTTTCAATGTAACTGCGAGTAAGGCAGGAACGTTCATAAATATAACATGGACTTGGAGAGGATATGTGCCCGTCCAGGCCTCCATAGTAAATACGTGTCCTAACAGACAGCAGCAGAGACAGGAAAGGGGCTTTAAATAGCCGTCAGTGTCTCGGTGTGGCTGGGACAGCTGTTGACTCCCGGGGAAGGAGTGGGCAGCCAAGCAGGATGGAGCGGTGTTTTGGTGTGTTCAGACTCGGCGGCTTTGAATTGTAGAGGAAGTATATTACAAAGAGCAAGACAAGCACTCTGCAGCACACTCAGAGATAAGCTAAGTAGCTTCACAACTGCTGAAAGCAAATGCAGTGAAACCCCAAACACGTTTTGGTTTTGAGGGTTATTTCATGCATTTTTAAATTCATTAGCATTTTGTGTTTATGCTGTTTGACTGTCTTTTTTTATGTGCCCGCTTGTGTCTGTGCACTTTTCTGTATGAATGTTGTTTCCTGTGGGGCTTCGTGTGCTGACAGGAAGGTTAATAAAACAGTGAGAGGAGGAAACCACCACTTTGGGGTTTTTGTAAGTTTGCAGTATTTGTGTGTGCGTGGTTGCGTGTAGGCTCGGGGTAGAGGTCACCCCTTGCAGGAGCCTCAGGGTGGAACTTTTGAGGTGGTGAAAAAAAACAAGAACGTTCTAGGCCTCCTTGAAACAAAGGACAGAGGTTTAAGGCATTTGTCGTCAAACCAAAGCTTTCCTAACCTGTCATAGGTCAGAGGAGAATCCCTTCTGAGTAAAGGGTGTGAGTCAGCGTGTTCACATAAAATCAGAGTTTTTGGGTTAACTCACTTGACTCCAAAGCGGTCCATAAACATGATGTGGTTCCTAAAGGTCCTGTTGACATCCAGGTCTATCTGCTTGATCTCTGTGGAGTAGTTACGGGCCTGCTGCTTCATTTTCTGAAAAAATGGACCAAATGCTCTCAGGCTTCGAAACTAGGCGGCTAATGGCATCAAATATCATAATACTTACAGCAACTGTCAAGAGTCCTACCTCATATTTGCCCTCATTGTCTTGTTTAACCTTCTCTATGTCCAAAAGCAGGGCCCAAGCCTGGCCTCTGAACTGGAGGGGAATACCTTTATAAACACGCTTCACCAACTGAAACACATGCAATAAAGAATATGTTTCAATCCTTTTTCAGCAAAGCACAGGATTAGATTGAACTGCTGCCAAACACAACACAGTCACATCATCGCATGCACTAATTTTGAGTGTCTAGACTGCCAAGATGTTGGAGGTATAAATGCATGATCTATACTTAAAAAGGAACGGAAAACAAATTATACACAGAGACGGAAGTAATATATTAAAGAATGGGAAAAAAGGAAGCAACAGCTAATGTCAGACGGTGTTGTTGTGTCTAACGGGAGCAGCTGCCTACCTTTTCGCTGTTCCTGTACTTGTCCCACTTCTTCACCATCTTCAGCCATTTCTCCACTCGCTCTATTTCCTGTTGCTTTTGCTTGAGAACAAACACAAAACAGCATGAGGTCAACTAGGAGGGCAGATGTCTAATACATGGAATGTCAAATCTAAAATATACACACATGCAGATATACATGCATGCATACACACACACACACACACACACACACACACACACACACACACACGTATAAAAACATATATGTGTATATCTCTTACCTTTTCTTCAAGCGCGGTGGGTGTTGGAAGCTCTTCCTCACTGGAGCAGAAATACATGACATGTATATGATATACAATATGTATTGATAACATAAAAGTGTGTTTGACAACTACAATCAAGACAAATGCAGACATTGTAAAATAATTTCTGTCAAAAAAATAGCCAGAAGTTTAAACGAGCTTACTGCAGGAAGCCGAAGCGGTCAGTGACTTTATAAATGCTGTAGTCTGCATCCTCCCATGGATCAATGCTAACACCTTCTTGTCTTCCCTGAAACAGCAAAAACATCAAGCGGATTGTTGGTATATAGCCAAAAATAATAATCTAACCAGAGGGTATCTCTCCTAAGGCATTATCACACCTTTCTGATCTTCCATGTTGATTATTTGAAAGGCCTTAACTGTGTGCTGTGTTACCAGTATGCAGGATTAATATGTGACTCCACAAATAGCAGAGCTGCACAAGAGAATGCTCTTCTCTTGTCTACGCTTAATGAAACGCAACGGTTAGTGTTTTGTAGGTTACCAAGCATCAAATGCCTCGCTGCATTTCCTTTCTTACCTTGTCATATTTAGAGATGATTTCAGCACGTTCCTCTGCTATCAGTGAATCTATGTCCTTCTTCATGTCAAAATCTAGAAGATGAATAGAAAATGCCATCAGGAATTTCGATAGCTGTGATAAATCCTGCCATGGTAGACACAAAAACTTCTTGGTACAGATGGTGACATGCCATTTTCTGATAGATTAGGTGCATGTAGTTCTCTTTCCAGTTCTATCAGGGCAGGAAGCCTTTTAAGCCCACTGAATGTGAATTATTCAGGTGGTAAAACCACCAACATGAGATGGTTTCCATGACCTAATCAATGGATCATAATGAAAGAAACGGTAATAGCAAAAGAGGTAGACTTTGACTTTACAACTTTGTTAAACCGTAAAACTTAAATACTTGTGAAACCCAAACAATCATGGTCATATGATCTACAGCAGCTTCCAGCTACATTAGACCAATATTGATACTCATCCAGGAAAAGACGCTGATGCAGTTTCATTGGATTACCGACTGAAAATAGGACACCAAAAATCATATTGACTCATGATAATGTCTGACCTTCACTGACTGGTTGAGCTCTTCAAAAACAATCTGTGGTCTAGTCTATCTAAATTTCAGCTTGTAAATGAAAATCTTCTGCCGGCCAAGCCCAGCAAAGGTCAGCCTGAAAGTGAATCAGAGCGGTTTAAGCTAAATCTCTAAACCTGTCACTCGACCAAATAATCAAAGCAGTGAAATGTTTTCTCCAAACATGCTTCGCCCATCCCCGTCAGCATTTTGGTGATGTACAAGTCAAGTGGAGAATAATCTTCCTGTGTCTCTCAACACACAACAGCGTTACATTATTACACAGTATGTACAACCCCTGAAGGTTTCATCCTTTTCAGCGTGCAACCATAAACTACACAGGATCAAAGTGAAGACATTACAGCGGCGATCTGAGCTTTATCTTAAGCAGCGAGCGAGACAACAGTGCCTTAATGCCTCAAATATTAAAAAAATTAAGGGAGTTCATGTGGGTTTTCCCTTTGTCCATATTACCAAGGAAAATCAACAACATTAATTGCACAACAATTTTTTTTTTTGTTTACTTCGTCTGACCACTAGCAGGGAAAACGCTACAGGTGAGCCTGTTGTACGAGATAGTGTGCACTGAGAAGCATGAAGCCGATGCTTGACAGCATGAAGCAGCCAGCTGACGTATCAGGTGGTAGGCATGTCTGTCATGCCAAGCAGCAGCAGATGGGAGAGCACCTGCCACTTCACACAAAGGCCCTTTAACTTTTCCTCTAAGCGCCCGGATGCTTTGTGCTGACGGGGAGATTTATTTATTTTTTCCTCCCAAATACAGCTCTGTTTAAATGCTGAAGAAGCAGGTCCAATAACATAAACTGGGGGGATGTGACTGACGTGTTTTTTTCTATTGAACTTACGACACTTCTTTCCAAACAAACCCATTTCACTCATCTTATGAATATTTTAGCAGTACATCAGTGATGGGGAAAACACGGTGGGAAATGATTACCCTTTGGGATGCTGTCAGTTGCTTTACCTCTTTTATTTATCTTTATTTTTTTTAACTGCTCCTCAGTCACAGCATCTGCTCTTCACCTTCAAAACAGCTGAGTATCTCCTCTCAGCAGGTGGGAGCTCAGAGTGGACACAGCTGTCGAAAGGCTTTCGTTCTCACATTTTCCCTTTTGTCATCCATCGCATCTCGGGTCAGGTCGAGTCAGCCTTTCAAGGCATATTCAAAAATGTCCCAAAATGCTGTGCAAGCTATATGTGAGGTGAGGATGCCATTAACCCAGAGTCAACCTTGCCTCTCAAGATCACGAGACTCTTCCTGCCCAGTACTTCAGACAGCATTTGGAAGACCAGAAGGAAAAAGGTGTGAAGAAGAAATGAAGGCTGACGTCAGCGCCTCTCCGTCTGTTGCCCTACATTTACCCTTTCTAGGAGTGTCAGCATTTTGAAGTGTGCTGAAAGCGTTTTTTTTTATTTCTTTTATTTCTTTTTTTAAACGAAGCCAATGTGTAAGGAATGAAACTGCAGAAACAGGGTGCTGCATGGTGTTGCACTTGTTAGAGCCGATATGTCTAAGAAATAAGGTGGCTGCTCTAAACCTCAGCTGGGGGCCTTCCTGTGTCGTTTGCTGCCTGCATGTTCTTGTGGTTTCTTCCATCACCAAATACACGCCTGTTTTGTGGTTTAGTGTTTGCTTTTGGAGGCTGATGGGGAAATGCTCACCGTGGAACCTGCCGTTTTACTAACAATGAGCTCCTGAGGCAACTGGAACAGATCAATTTGCCAAGTCACAATATGAGGGCATCTACTGAGAAACAAAGAATTGTCTACAAGATATAATGGTATAAAGTCTGCTGTGCCTTTTGCTTAGTTACCAGATTCTTACATCCTGCCTTGAGTCTTCAGAATACTGATACTATTGTGTTGGGGTCAGAAAGAAAAGGAAGCCGGTACATGCCACTCCTTCAACAACATGTTGAGTAAGAACAGCAGAAAGATTTTGACAACAAACCGAGTCTCACTTCAACCAAAGCATTTTTTTTTACTGACAATGCCCAAAATAATGCAGTCAGGCATTTAAAAATGTCAGTGAGACCACAGGATGGTCAGTTCACATGAATTACAGCAAGTTTTTTCCCTTTTCGCTTGTGATTCATAAACAAAACACAGAAAAAAAGCTGTGGATCACTTTGATGGTTTGTTCGGTGGAGTTTGCTTTGAATGGGAAACGATGACTATATCGGTGGATAGCTGTCAAGAGGATAAGGGTTGAAACCACACAGAAGTGGGCGAGGGGGGTATATGTGAGAAAGTAGCCGACAGTCGTACATGAGAGAGAGTTAACACACAAAAAAAATTAACAAAGACTGTTACAAAAAATGACGCACAAAAAAAGCTAACAAAGCTAAATTGTGAAAACCTTACTGCTTTCAAGAGAGGAGACCTTGAGCCTTATTTTTACGGTGACATCATATCCTGTTATGACATAGAGCTCTAAATTGAGCTGGCATGTAGGAGCTCTGAGTGTACTGTTGTAACCACAGAGATCTTGCAAAGCATTCTGAATCACATTCAGCTAATTACAAGGTTGTCAGAAGAGGCGCAGCAGTCAAAACTTCTACTGATTTATCATCAGAATTTCCTATCCCTTCATGTTTTGCTCACTGCTTGCAGAGCTTAGCCAGGATATGACACGCATCCTCTCAAAAATCCTGAATAAAACCAAGATTAATGACAATTTCAATAGGGAAAATGATGATGGCTTCTAAGATATTTACAGAGACAACAGCCTAGTAAACACACAGCATTTAAGGCTTGTTGTGGCATGGTCCCCCAAAAAAGACATTAATTCCTTTATTTGAGCTTCAAACCAAATTTGGTCAACCAGTCAAATCCAGAACATCCGAGTCCATAACAATACTTTTCTCTCATAATTTTATTCTTTAGTGATTTACTGTCTTTTGCTTTATAATCAATCTTAATCTGAATGGCATCCGATTTAAGACTGAGGATTATACAAGAGGAGTGGAAGAATGAAAGCCAGGGATTAGGAAGAGTCTGGCAATAGTCAACAAAACGAGGGGCGGAAGAAGCTCAGAGTACAATCACTAAACTGTCGCAAGCACACTGAGAGACGTGTGTATTTACTAGCTGTAATAGCATCTTGAGCTGAAACTCTGTATTGAAACTACAGGTAGGTGGTAGGCCGTGGTTTTAGATGCACAATTTTACATGCAGTATAAAAAGCGGGTCAGACAACTGCAGAGTCCCAACTTCAGATTTACAATTAAAGGTTTTCCAACACTACAGGCACTCCAAGCTAAACCCTATCTGCTCACGAGGCTGCAGATGCCAGATGTGTCGCTCTTCTTCCCACTGAATGATTAGTCAATTGTGCATGGTCAGCCAAAGGACATTCTGACTCAGATTAAACAAGCTTTGGCTATAAACTCAATCAACGTGGTTATCTGCACAGAGCTCAATACCATGCTTCACTTACCATCCGTTCTCTACTTTCAGCACAAACCACTATGTGCCCTATAAAGACCAACACTGTCCCACATTAGTAGATAGTAATGTGTACCAAGCACCAGTTCTAAAGTTAGCTCAGCAGACTTTTAGTGTTGTACAATTGAGATTATCTTCCAAAGTACTTCTTTTTCATTTCTCATGATTAAAGAAAGCACACCCAATGCCACATCAAGGGATCTCAACCAGAAAATATTCCTGCTGGCCTTCTAGTTATGGGATTAAGTCATGTGTGTTCCATCTCAAGCATCTCTAAATCCCATGACATCCATACTTCTGAATGCGAACGCACGGGAATTCTTAAAGTATCAACAAACAAATTCAATTTACAGCTTTTCTGCGACTGTGGCTGTCATTATAACAATTACTCTGCTGAGTACAACAACAATCCGCGACGGATAGATTTAAAAAAGGTCCCATGTGGCATTATGTGTGTCGTTACGTTAGCTTAATGCTGTAGATTCATGGTGGTTGTGGAGAACAAGCATATCATTTAAGTTCAAGAAAAAAGACGGCTAACAAGCAACCACATGGCTTCAATTTCCACTTCAAGAGGTCTGAGGGCCCAGATGACTTCAGATCTCCGGTTCTGTAATGGGAGTCAGACGCATTTCAGTGTGTGCAGAGCGGGCACAGGACGAAAAGCAAAGAAAGACACCAAAGGGAGGTGTAACAATCACAAGGCGTTTTTCCTATTTTTGTCAGCAAGCAGACAAAGGTAAGTAATAATACGGTAGACTCTGCTCAAGCTCCAAATATCCCAGCCACAGTCAGCAATCACACCATCCCTGATTGACTTCTTCTCGGCGAAACACGTTTTATTATAATTTAGAAACAGCGGTGATTAGAAAGGAGTCCAAATACATAAATAATTGTTAATTACATTCATAGCATGTACAACGAGGCGCCATAATTGCGACTAATTGAAAGGATCTTGCATTTTAAGTTGCCATTATATAAGAAATAATGTGTGGAGGGAAGCCAGATTCTGGGCCAAAGATCAATCGTTTCTTTGATT